CTGTAGTTTTCTTTCTTAGTGATGTTCTTCCCTGGTTTTGGTATGAGGGTTATTCTTGCTTCATAAAATGTATTATAGGAAGCTTTCCAACCTCCTCTATCTTGTGGAATAATTTGAGTAGAATTGATGATAGCTCTTCCCTGAATGTTTGGTTGAACTCACCAATGAAGCCATCTCGGCCTGGACTTTTTTTGGTTAGGAGTCTTTTGATGACTTGATCAACTTCCTCTTTTGTTATGGGTCTGTTCAGGTATGTACCTCTTTTATACATAGCTACAGAATTATAAATGACTAAATAACTAATAGCAGTAAATACTATTTTCTGTACATTTAACATCACTGTCATTATCATCACAAAACCACAATGGTTTACATGATTTCCTATTTTGAACCCTTGAAAGCTAGCTAAAATTCAGATCAAGGTTGAAGTGGTTAAATAGTCATTATCTGACAGACTAATCTGTTTATTAGTAAAGGCTGGATTCAAATCACAGTGTCCATGGAAGAAAAAAAATCATTGTAATTTTATAGCCCAAAACTTACTTTCACCTTCATGGGTTATCTCTTGAAGTTTGCTTTGCAGTCTCTGTAAAGTAGAAAAAAAAAAATACAGGAGCTAAAAAAACACTTTATATTTCTAATCCACCAAATATTTTAATATATTTTAAAGTAAACAAGGCTGTTAAAGAAGGTCCCATACAGCCACTCAGAAGTGAACCCTGTGTATTCAGAAAGCATGGCTAGCAATACTGGAAGGAACTCAAACTATTAAGTACAGAAAGTCTTGTGATACCTATGTCAGTCTTAAAGACAACTCCAACTTGTTATTTAATGTTATGTAAACTTGCCTGCACTTCAACATGAATGAAGCAACCCCTACTCACAAAGAATTCTTTGGTACATTCAACTTTACTTGATACATGTGCAGCTTTTAAATCACTGAAAAGACTACAGATTTTTTTATTTTTCATTAAAATAAGACTATGTAAGAATCTGTTCCTATATACACGTGTTTCAACTTAGTAATTCAACTTAAAGACACACTTAGGAAGGATCTTCTTTGTAATCTGGGGTCTGACTGTGTTCATACAATTACATATTACTCAGCAGAAAAAGGGACAAAATAGATGAAATAATTGAGCTAAGTCTTAAAAAGAATATGCTGTGTGGAAAAAGCTTTACATACTGGATGAGCCCATTGACATGGATGGCAAGAGTTGGCAAAACTTATCCAGAGGGGACCATCAGAAAAGTGGTTGTTTCTAGGGAAATGGGAACTGATTAGAATCATGAGGGAAGCTTTCTTGGGTGACGTTCATGTTTTCTATTTTGGGATTTGGACAACACAGATATAGCATTTCTCAAAACCCACCAAAATTAGTGTATTTCACTATATATAACTTTTATGTAAAAAAAAAAGAGCACCACTACAGAATGACATGTTTGATGAAATTATTCAGGAATAAAATGTACCAATGTCTGAAACTTATTTCAAAACATAAACTAAAATAGACTGATGAATGGATAGAGGCGGACACAGAAACATAAGATAGCAAATATACGAAAAATCTCACCTCTAGCATTATTAAAAAGGCACCATGAACATCTCCTTTTTTCTCCAATAGATAAGCAGTGACTTCATGAAGTTGGTACTTTTGGGTAATCTAGGAGAGAAGAAAACAGAAATATCTTTGTTCACAAATCCTGTTTGTAGAGTGAAAATATTCTATTACAAATGAAAAAAAAAAGCACTCAATAAATAATGAATTCATACCTTAGTAGTACACTACTTTATATCTGCATACTGCATATGCAAATATTTGACTTCCTAATCTTATAGGACCCATTTGGCAATTCTAATTGAACTAATAAGCTCATTCTTTTTTTTCCCCCCATTTATTTTTAAAATTGCTATGCACTTGAATGAGCTGGAGCCATTGGAGAAAAGGTAACACATATACATAAATAATATAAACTAGAAATTGGAAAGTATTATATAAGTGATGCTCACCCAGAGCTTTGGGAATTTAAGGAGTGGATAAATACACAAGTAGTAGTACTTGACCAAGTTGTTAGGGAATGTCTAATACCAGGGAATGTTTTTTTAAAATAGTACTCAAAGTTTGGGATGTGGCATAAGCAAAGGCACACAGAAAGACCAACACTGGCATACAAGGAAAAATGAGATGTTTAGCCGACTGTTATGGGGAGCGTGAAAGAGAATTAGTAAGAGCACTGAACAATATAGGTCAGAGCAAGACTCACAGAAGGCTTGTCAGTTTATGAAACCTGGGCTTCATATTCTGGGAAAGAGAGAAGTGATGTAACCAGAGATAGCTCTTAGTAAGCGAAGTCTAAAAAGTAAAAGTTTACGAAGAGCCAAAAAAAGGAATTACAGGGAATAGACATGGAGGACTGCAGCAGAAAGTCTTAAGAATTATGTTTTTATTGTTAACTGCTGTCAAGTTGGTTCCAATTCATAGCAACCCTGTGTAGGGTTTCTGAGGAGCAGCTGGTGGGTTTGAACTACGGACATTGTAATTCACAGGCCAGTGCTCATCCTACAGCAGCACACCAGGAGTCCGTAAGAATTATAGGTCTTGGCAAAAGATTTGGTGTGGGAGACCTGGTAGATGAAACCCAAAACCTACTGAGGTTCTGAGCCAGCTCCCTGAGAAGATGGTATACTGGGACTGTATCCTAGAAATATGAGGATAGAGCTAAGGAGAAAGGTCAGGTCTAGAACTCAGCTGCCCAATATGAGCAGCATATCTAGTTGAAAGTTGTGTACTGGCCACATTTTAAAAAAGAGTAAAAAGCAGCAGGTAAAATAAATTTAATATATTTAATTGAATCTAATATATTTAAAGTATCATTTCAACATGTAATCACTATAAAATTAACATAATTTATATTCTTCTTTTCATACTAAGTCCTTGAAATCCAGTGTGCATTTTGTACTTACACCATATCTCACTTTACATTGGCCACATGTGGCAGTGGACACTGTTATTATACTGGACAGGACGGGTTTGAAAGAAGAGGCCAAGAATAGATTCTTAGTAAACATCTACACTTAGGGAGTGGAAAAATAAAAAAGCTAGGGAATTTATTACGGTTAGCGAATTAAGCATAGAATTGAGGACAGTGGAGTTTTTAAAAACACCAAATTACTGAATATTGAAATATGATAAAGAGCACCAGAATATTATCAGATATAATGCTGGAAGATGAGTCCCTCAGGTTGGAAGGCACTCAAAATGAGACTGGGAAAGAGTTGCTTCCTCCAAGTAAAACTGACTGTGATGATGCGAATGGAGAAAAGTGCTCGGGATCTTCATTTGTTCATGGGGCACAACTCAAAATGACAAGAATCAGCTGTAAAAAATCCATTAATAATTGGAACATGGAATGCATGAAGCGTGAATTTAGGAAAACTGCAAATTGTCAAAAATGAAATGGAATGTATAAACACCAATATCCTAGGCATTAGTGAGCTGAAATGGATTGTTATTGGCCACTTTTAATCTGACAATCACATGTTTTACTATCCCAGTAATGACAAGTTGAAGAAGAATGGTGTTGTATTCATCATCAAAAGAACATATCAAGATCAGTCATGAAGCTGTCTGTGACAAGATAATATCCATACGCCTACAAGGAAGACCAGTTAATACCACTATGATTCAAATTTACACACAACCACTAAAGCCAGTGATAATGACACTGAAGAATTCTACAAACGTCTTCAGTCTGAAATTGATCAAACATGCAATCAAGATATATTAATAATTACTGGTAACTGGAATGCAAATATTAGAAAGAGGAAGGATCAGTAGTTAGAAAATATGGTCTCAGTGATAGAAATGATACTGGAGATAGCATAGTAGAATTTTGCAAGACCATTAACTTCTTCATTGCAAATATCTTCTTTTTTTAATTTTTTTTAAGGTTTTTATTGTGGATTGAGTGAAAGTTTACAGGGCAGGTCATCAGTTTTACATTCAACAATTATACAACCTTGTTTCATTACAATGATTATAATCCCCTCCATGTACCATCAGTTAACAATATTTCCCTCTACTCACGTTAGCTCTTTTTTTTATAAACACTCAAGCATATATAATAATTTACACCATCAGAGGGCACATTCTGCAAGTCTGCCTCCTGGCTGCCAGCACTTCCCATGAATCTAGAGTCCTCAACTGCTCCCTCTCTCCATGTACCCATCTCTGCTTCCATCTCTGGTATAAGGTCCCACATTCTGCTTGTGCTCTTCTCCCTTGATGGTCCTAGGGTCCTTTGTTTCTGGACTGAAAGATTAACTACTCCCCCATTTCTGTTACAAAACTTCTACCCTTTACAAGCAAATACCGTTTTAAAACAACATAAAAGACTATACACATGGACCTCACCAGATGGAATATACAGAAATCAAATAGACTACACATCTGTGGAAAGGGACAGTGGAAAAGCTCGATATCATCAGTCAAAACAACGCCAGGAACAGACTGCAACAGACTATCAATTGCTCATATGCAAATTGAGACTGAAGCTGAAGAAAATTAAAATAAGTCCAAGAGAGACAAAATACGGCTTTGAATATATCCCACCTGAGGAACAGATTTAATGCATTACACACTAAAGACCAAAGACCAGAAGAGTTGTGGGATGACATCAAGGACATCATACAGGAAGAAAGCAAAAGGTTATTAAGAAGACAAGAAAAATGGAAAAGACCAAAATGCATGTCAGAAGAGACACTGAAACTTGCTTTCCAACTGAGATGCTAAAGCAGACGGAAGAAGTAAGGAGGTACAAGAGCTGAACAGAAAATTTCAAAGGTCAGCTAGAGAAGACTAGGTCAAATATTGTAACAAAATGTGCAAAGACCTGGAGTTAAAAAAACAAAAAGGGAAGAACATGCTCAGCATTTCTAAAGCTGAGGAAACTGAAGAAAAAAATGGATGCTTAGTAGTGGTTACAAATCGGGCTGCGAACCGCAAGGTCAGCAGTTCGAAACTACCAGCTGCTCCGTGGGAGAAAGATGAGGCGTTCTGCTCCCGTAAAGATTAACAGCCTTGGAACCCCTGTGCAGGGTTGCTAAAGATTAACAGCCTCGGAAACCCTGTTTAGGGTCGCTATGAGTCGGAACCGACTCCACGGCACATAACAACAACAACAACAATTATATGGAAAAGGGAGCTAATTGTGCCCACCTTCCTACTACTGAAACACAAATGCTTTACAGACTATAATGAAGCATTGGGGGTTGGGGGGGGGGGGGGGGGAAGCTGCACTCAAAACAAATAAGCAAAAACTCCTAGTTGCCAAAAATGAAGAAGGAAATTAAACCAGAATTATAACTTTGTAACCTTGATGATATTGGATATTGCAGCTGTTAGTGGTGATAGTGTTGGAATGGTGGGGCTCCGACCATGATTTAGACTCAAATGACTAGAAGATGGATTGTGAACATCCATATGAGTACATAAGACATGGTCTTGTACCCCTGAGAAATGGGGGTTAAAACTTAGACCACTCCATAAAGCCAGAGCTTTGAAAGGTAATACACCCTAACGAAACAGGTACTGAAACAGCTTTTCCCACGCCACAGAATGAGAAGCAGTAAGGTGGATTCTACAAGGGATATGTGTAGGGGGGTAGGACTAAGATACGTTTCTTAGTAGACACTGAAACCATAAGTCTGTACTATACACAAATATGAGGTTGAAATTAAACCACTGTGTGGCATAAGAATCTCCAAACCAAGAAATAAATATATTAACTGCTACCACATCAGTGTGGAGCATGGTGATTCTGTAGGATAAGCACAGGATTATGAACTACAACATGGCAGTTTGAGTCAACCAGTCATTTCAAGGGAAAAAGATGACACTTTCTACTCCTATAAAGATATACAGCCTCAGAAACCCTAAACAAGGTCACTGTGAGTCAGAACCAACTTGACGGCATTTAAGAACAACTATATCAGTAAAATCCATGGGGGACCAGAGAGATGAAACTACGAAACCACTCTACTTCCATAACTTATTCCAGCTGCAAACTGAAGATGAGTCTAGCATAAGTCATTGAAAATATTAAAAATCATGAAAGGAAATGATTTATTATGAGTGAGAAGTGGTAGACTACAACCAAACCTGCTGCCATTGAGTTGATTCTGATGCAAAGCAGCCCTTAGGACTGAGAAGAACTGCCTGTCATAGTTACCGAGTGCTGCTAAAACAGACCACAAATGGGTGGCTTTAACAAACAGAAATTTATTTTCACACAGTTCTGGAGGCTGGAAGTTCAAATTCAGGGTTCTAGGGGAAGGTTTTCTCTCATTGTCAGTTCTGGAACAAAGTCCTTGTCTCTGAGCTTCCCCTCCTGGGTGATCTAGTGGTTGGGCATTTCTCTTCCTCCATATTAGCTTGCTAGCTTGAGTTTAATATCTATTATGTCTCAAAAGATACTAACTCAAGATATACCCTATATGATTCCTGTTTCATTAAAAGAACAAAGGAAACCCATTCCTAAATGGGATTATAACCACAGGCATAGAGATTAAGATTTATAACACATCATTTAGGGGGACACAGTTCAATCCATAGCAGGCCTCACCAGGTTTCCAAGGTTTTTATCTTTACAGATGCAGATTGCT